GAAGAGAGGCTGAGAGTCCTGAAGTTACCAACCCTGCTGTACAGGAGGTTACGGGGAGACCTCATTAACACCTTTAAGTTTGTACATGGTCTATACGACACAACACCGTGCATACCTGATAGACAGAGGGAGACAAGAACTAGAGGCCACAACTTACGGCTAAAAAGGACTGTAACGAAGACAAACAAAAGACTACTATTCTTTAGTAATAGGATAGTCCCATGGTGGAACGAGTTACCTGAAGAAGTCGTCAGTGCGCCAACAGTTACAGCTTTCAAGATAAGATTTGACAAGCACATGGAATATCACCCAGTGAAGTACAGCTACAAGGCACTGGACCATCCACACAAGCCAACAGTGACAACCGTATGAGGAGCGGTCTAAACTGGAGAAGAAAATCCTACATGACCGAAGATCTACTCTACTCTACTCTACTCTAGAACCCTTATGAACAGCTCCTAACTGTGACAAAGATTCATTTGTAGAAACTGTTTATGGAGGCCTGTTTTGCAATGAAATAGAGATTTTTTGGCCAGCAATCAAAAGAGAACTAGAAGAGGATAATTAGATTTATTAAAGCTAGGTCATATACCCAGGTACCTTGATACTACCTAAGTCATTTTGTTAAATTTTTGTTTAAAAGAAAACAATCAATCTTTCTCTGATAATTTGCTATCATCTTATATTTATGATCTTTCCAAACCTTTGCTGGTTAGTGGCAGATTTCAAGATGAATTTAGCATGGTACAAATTCATTAAGAATTGAAGTTTTGCACTTTGATATCTAGCAATACATGATTTTTATATTGTCTGTCATTATTTAAAAACAGCACTCTAATTCTTTCTGGCTTTACAAAAAGCTTATTTACATATTCTCACATGCAGATTTCCACAAGGATATATTTCACACCCAACAAGCTCCAACCCATAGAGTAGGCAAACAATTACCGTAATCCACTCACATAAGCCACTCATTTGTTTTGTGTCAAAATGACTGTGATTGAATTTTTGATGACAGCATTGGACAGCAATCAGTGGAATTCTCATTGCCTTGACAGCTTGTTTTATGGTCTCTTGTCCTTCATGTGATGTCATACCTTATAATTTTGACTTATTACAGTTGTTCCAAGAACATTGTGCACATTTCTAAACTGTAATCTTGGTCACAAAATTTCCGAAGGAAAATTTGTAAATGTTACAACAGTACTATGGACATCAGACAAGTACTTTATTTCAACCACCAATATTAGTAATATACATGTATGTATTAATGTTATATTTATGTAAAAAAATGATATTCCCTGCTGCCTAATTCTTGTTGCCAATGGCTGCTTATACTTTGCACTGAGAACGATAATGTATGATTATGAAGTTTTCTGTGATGGATGTTTTGATCATATTTTTAAATTTAATGCATAACTAATCATTTATGTTGTTGTTCATGAAAATGTTTATGGGTTTAGGTGTGATGATATCCTTACAATTAGAATGGTAGAAAGGTAGAAACTGCCTATTTATTCAGATACCGGTAACAGTTTTTGAGCATCAGAAGTCACCTTGTTCCTGCTTTTAACCATTGTTTTCCATGGTTGGAAGTGCTTGCATGAAAAGGGCATTGATTATCATTATCGTGACAGCATTGAGTCTCCTTGAGTTTTGGACCCTTACAAAAGTGTTTACTGTTACTTTGTTACTTAAACAAGGGTAAAAAACACCTGCTGCACATGCAGAGTAGTG